CAGGGTGTGGATATGGGTCTATGCCATACAGATGGCCCTCCTTAGTTCCTTTACATTCAGATGTCTACTTTTGACCTTCTAGCACCAAATTCTTCTGGCAACCCCACTAGCTCATAGGCCAGGGCAGGGCCAGGATATGGTGCCTGGAGGATGACCTGAGATCCCATGACTGGCCCCACCCTAGATTGCCCAACTCTGTCTCCCATACCTGTTCCCCAGAAGGCCATGGTAGTAGGCAAAATAGACGAGCGAGTTGTCGTTCTGCTCATAGGAGGAGAGTCCGTTGCCCACAGCCAGCCCCTGTGAAAACACCCAGGGCTCGCTCATCTGGAGGGTGGGGAGGAGGAGGAGCTCCCTGACCCACACCTAGACCTTCTGCAACCTAGAATCCCTGGGTGGTCTGTGGGGTGGGTTGGGGGGCGTCACTCAAGGTACAGAACAGAGCTGGCAGCCTGACAGGTGGTTTCTAGTCACGGGAGGCAGCAGGCAGAGATAGGGTCGCTGGTGGCTGGGAGGGAGACCGGCTGGGCAGGGGTGCTGGCAGTCTGACCCTGGGAACTACAAGGGTCCCCAGGGGCCTCCCTGCCCTCCTGCAGCTGCCCTGCACCTGAAGGTTCATGCTGGGGTCCTGCATGACCAGCACAGCCAAGGTGGGGATGTAGATGCCGGCATAGCTCTCGCCTGTCAGGAAAAGTTTGTTGTCCTTATACTCCGGAAAGAGGCGGAAGAAATCTTTAAGGGCTTCAAAATTGCCCTGGGCAACCTGGGGGTGGCAGGATGGAGAGAATCAGGACGCACTGACATCTGAGCTAGAAAAATCCTCAAGAGGTAATGAAACCAACCCTGGGTGTGAGAGGAAGTGACTTGGTTACAATCACATCCATAGCACATGACAGCCAGAAATGGATCCAGAGGCCATGTTCCCGCTCCCCTCTTCACGCCCCAGTGGAAGGCCAGGGAAGCTGGAGTGGGTGGGCAGGCACCAGACTCACCTCGGTGTCATTGGTGGCATAAACCTTGTCATCAGAGTAGGAGAAGCCCACCCCAGCTGGGGACTCAATGTACAACACATTGGCAATCTAGAGGGGAGGAGGAAATGAAGTGAAGAGGGGTCCCCACCACATTGGAGAGGGGTCCCCACCACATTGGAGTGCCCAGACACCCCGGCAGGACCCACAGCTCAGCTATACCAGGTTCCATGAATAGGGGTTGTACTCTAGAGTGACACCATCTGGCTGGATCTGCGGAGGAAAAAGAGGGAATGAGCACCAAGGACCAACTGGGTGGAGGGGAAGGGCCCCAGTGCCAGAGGTCCTTTACACATGGACAACCCCCCAGCAGGTAAGGACAGTTAAGTAAGCCCCAGCACAGTGGGGAAAACAGCAAGGTTCAGGAAGAAGGAGACACTTGGAAGACCACGAAGTCCTTTTCTCCCCACCTTTTTCCCTTGGGTAACTGTCCCTTTCCCCTCTTTCCTGGGTCACAGGAGGAGACAGCAGCGTCCACTCACCAGGAAAGGGCCGTGCTCCGTCAGGAACCCATCTAGGGAGCTGCAGCCCGGACCCCCGTTGAGCCAAAGCACCACCGGGCTGCTCTCTGGATCTTTCTGGGACTCCACAAACCTGGGAGGGGTCAGAGAGAGTTGGTGCGGGCGGAGGGCCCCTCCTGCCCTCCCCGCTCGCTCCCGGGAGCCCTCCGTCGTCCCGGGAACTGCCTGCAGCCCCCATCCCGCCTGGTGGGCTTTGCCAGCCGCCTCCCGCCCGCCCTGGGAGGCAGGGCCGCCGACCAGTAGTGCAAGTGCTTGGAGCCGGCGGCTCTGAGGTAGCCCGAGAACTGGCGGAACGACGGCTGCTTGGCCAGTCCGGGGAGGCACTGAATCTGGTCCTGGTCGGGGGCTGCCTGGACCCGGGACGCCCAGGACAGGAGCCACAGCAGGAGCAGCGGCGGCAGCGCGGCTCGGACCATCTGCGGGAGGAAGTGGTGGCGCCTGCAGTTTACCCGCTCGCTCGCGGCCAGGCGCTCGGGAGCCGCAGTCCCCAGGGAGGAGCTGGGCGCGCCGCGAGGGGACCCCGGCCCGGACCCCGCCCGCCGAGGCCCCGCCGCCGCCACCGACCCTGGGCGGGGGGACCCGCTGCGGCCGAGGTCCCCTCACCTCTGCTTCCTCGCGTCCTTGCTCTCCGGGAGGCGCCGGGGACTGGAAGTCATGTGTACCCTGAGTCACGTGAGGGCTGGCGTCACGTGTCAGCCCTCCCTAGGCCCCCTTTTTGCTCTCTGAAGGCCTCAGGGGAGGGAGCGGTCAATTTTCGGGTCAAAGTCCGCGGGCCTCGAAGGTCGTAGTCCGGGAGCCAGCGACCAGGTGATCTGGGTGTGGACGGCCAGGTTTCCCAGCCCCCGGGGACCCCGGCTCTAGGCGGGATGCCTGAGCAAGCGGCGCTAGGACCCCCGAGTAGAGCCTCGGGAAGGGAGTCGGGGGAAATGCCTTACATGGTTCCCCGACTGTCACCATCTAAGTCGGTGGCCCAAAATAGCTCCGGGCGCCGTCTGACCTGCCACATGGCCCCGAGATGGCTGCTGCCTCCAATCCTGTGGAGCTGGGTGCCTCCTGGGGACCCGCGCGCCCAGAGCCCCCTCCCACCCGCTTCCACCGGGTGCACGGAGCCAACATCCGCGTGGACCCCTCGGGGACGCGGGCCACGCGCGTGGAGAGCTTCGCCCATGGTGTGTGCTTCAGTCGCGAGCCGCTGGTCCCCGGCCAGGTATTCCTAGTCGAGATCGAGGAGAAAGAGCTGGGCTGGTGCGGCCATCTGCGCCTCGGCCTGACCGCGCTGGACCCCGCCAGTCTGGCCGCGGTGCCCGAATTTTCGCTGCCGGACCTGGTCAACCTTGGCCACACCTGGGTCTTCGCCATCACGCGCCACCACAACCGCGTGCCCCGGAACGGCCAACCGGGGGCAGAGGCAGAGGCCACGGCCCCGCGCCGCCCCCCGGCCCTGCTGGCGGAACCATATCTGTGCATTGAGCAGTTCCGAATACCCCGGGACCGCCTCGTGGGCCGCAGCCGGCCGGGGCTCTACAGCCACCTCTTGGACCAGCTCTACGAGCTGAACGTGTTGCCTCCCACCGCGCGCCGCAGCCGCCTGGGCGTTCTCTTCTGCCCGCACCCGGATGGCACCGCAGACATGCACATCGTCATCAACGGGGAGGACATGGGCCCCAGTGCCCGGGGGCTGCCCGCTGCCCAGCCCCTCTATGCAGTGGTGGACGTATTTGCCTCCACCAAGAGCGTGCGTCTGGTTCAACTCGAGTATGGCTGTAGGTATCCCACTCCTGGGCAGCGACCTCTCCTGGCCCAGTGTAGACACAGACACCTGCTAGAACCCGTGGGCCAGTTTCCTAGACCTTGGTCTCTCCAGCGTTAGTTTAGAAGAGGGAAACCTGGAGGGCTGAAATCTGTAATCTCGCTTCTGGAGGCTGAGGCAGTAGTACCACAAGTTCAAGTCCAGACTATCTCTAAATAAATAATTTTTAAAAAAGGGCTGGAGATGTAGTTCAGTGGTGAAGAGTCCCTTTAATTCCCAGTGAGACGAAACAGCAGCAAGAGCATCAAAAACAGGAAGAATCCAGCTTGGAATTGCACCTCTGTTTGTAGTTTTGCACCAGTCACTCCCCATCATTGGAGGGTCTCCTTGCCCATGCCTATCCCAGGTGATTGATTAGGTGCCTTGTAGGTCCCTTTTAGTTCTTACAGTGTTTTCAATATATTTTTTTAATATGTATTTTTTAGTTGTAGTTGGACACAATACCCTCATTTTTTATTTATATGTGGTGCTGAGGATCGAACCCAGGGCTTTGCAAATGCTAGGCAAGTGCTCTACTGCTGAGCCACAACCCCAGCCCCAGTGTTTTCGGTATTAACCTATAAAAAATGCTGATAGATTTAGGGGGGTCTATCCGTTTAGAAGCATAGAGGCATCATAGACCTCAAATTGAGAGCTTTTTAATTCTGAGATCCAGTTCCACTTCCTTACAGCCCTATCAAACATTTTATTTATACCTCAGATCCCATCTCATGGATTCAGGGAACTAGAACCTGCACTGGGAACTGTGGTTGTATGAGCAAATCAGACACTACCCTGCCCACAGAAGCTGCTAACTGAAGGGGGAAGAGCTTTGTGCTGTGCTGTTATAAAAGCAGGGTTACATCATTGAAGGTCTTCAGGAAGTGGTTTTTTTATTATAATTTTTTGATACTGGGGATTGAACCCAGGGGTGCTTAAGCACTGAGACACATCCCCAGCCCATTTTATTTTTCATTTTGAGACAGGACCTTGCTAAATTGCTTAAGGCTTGCTAAATTGCTGAGGCTGGCTTCAAACTTGCAATCCTCCTGTCTCAGCCTCCCAAATCACTGGGATTACAGGCGTTGGCCACCATGCCAGGCAGGAAGTAGTGTTTATTTCAGCTATATGATCAGCTCTGTGAAGCAAGCTGAGCCTGACAGCAGAAGGGAGTTACCCAAGCTGATGGCAGAATGAGAACCAACGAAAACCTAGGTTTTTTTGGGCCTGGCCTCAGACCCACCCTTCAGTTTCCTGTGCCTTTGACCGCCTTCTTTCCACAGTGCCATCGCTGCAGACTCTGTGCCGCCTAGTGATCCAGAGGAGTGTGGTGCACCGGCTGGCCATTGATGGACTCCATCTGCCCAAAGGGCTTAAGGATTTCTGCAAGTATGAGTGAAGGTCTGCAGCCACCCAGAGGGCCCACAGGAGCACTCCTGGCCTTCAGACCCTGTCTGAAGCTGGTAACACTGCTGCCAACCAGGACTAGAAATAAACAGCTGATGCTGACATTCTGATCATTGGAGGGTCTCCTTGCCCCTGCAGTGTGTAGAGGCACTTCTAGAATCACTACAAATCAGCAGGTCAGAGCAAGAGAGAACATTTTCGATGCCATCTAGACAAGGGCTTGTTTAATTGGGATACTTAAGGAGTACTGATGCCCCACACTCCCCGGAAACTTTCCTTTGATGGTGCAGGCCTGGCCACTGTATATTGAAAAAGCCCTCCAGGAGATAGAAGGGACAGCCAGGTGGAGAAACACTTCCTTAGAACAGGTTTCAGGTTTGGTGCATATTATAATTGCTTGAGGAACTTAAAGATACCAATATTGGTCTGGCTCTGGGATTATGACTTAATTGGTTTGGGATGAGTTGGGCATCACAGTTTCTCTTTTTTTTTTTTTTTAAAAGAGAGAGTGAGAGAGAATTTTTTAATATTTATTTTTTAGTTTTCAGCAGACACAACATCTTTGTTTGTATGTGGTGCTGAGGATCGAACCCGGGCCGCACGCATGCCAGGCGAGCGCGCTACCACTTGAGCCACATCCCCAGCCCAACATCACAGTTTCTCAAAGTGTCCCAAGAGATTCTAATGTGCAGCCTGGTCTGAGATCCAGTGCCCTACACCAACTATTTCATTTTGCAGAAGGATAACTGAGACCCCGAGATGAGAATGCATTTGTTCAAGGTCAAATAGAAAATGATTGAAGAGCATCCTTGTCTGGCACTACAGGACACAAAACCCTGGACTCTACTTGTATCTCGGATTATTTGGCTCCATACAGATAGATGGTCCCACCTCATCCTCATAACATCTGGTGGGGGTAGTCATCACTCCCATTTTACAGATGAGGACATTAAGGAACAAAACTGTCCAGGTGACTTGCCCAAGGTGAAGGCAAGAACCTAGAACACCCTGGAATTGGTACAGAGCTCTTTTAATCCCATCCCATTGTTATACATGGGTTCTAGAATGAACAGGTCAATGCTGTGAGATGGGTTCCAGGTGTAAAGGGGAGGGACTATGAGGTGACATTCTAGAAGGATAGGGTAGGACAGGAGGCATATGACTATTCCCTCACAAACAGGGCCTTTGGGGCAGCCATGTCCTACTTCATGTCTCCCCAGACTCATCCAGGTCTTCTACCTTCTAACCAAGGTGAGAGGGGTCTAATGGAACTGGAGGAGGCAAAGCAGCTTCACATGGGAGTTTCCTCCTGGTTCCAGGGAGGGGGAGGTTCTGCTGGGCATTTGGGGGCTGACCTTGGAGTCAACTCTTGGAAGAAAAGCCATTCCAAAAGTCCTTGCCAATTACTAACTACCACTTGCTCACTTAGTCATTCAGCAAACACTGCTCCATCATTTGCTCAGTGTTGGGAAGTGGGGATATGGATGTGAGTAACACTTAAGGCCTAACCTCTAAACAGTCCTCTTGAGCTGGTTTTAATTGCTCCTGCTCCTAAGCCCTGCCCCTCAGGGCCTCTTCTTCAGAGACAGACCAAGAATAACATTCCATCTCATTCCTGTCTCTGCAGGTGGGGCTGCTTCTCCGGGTTCGTCCCTTGGCCTCTATAGTCCTACAGAGCCAGTGGTGGTGGCCTCTGGTGGATTAGGCCCACTGAACCAGAAAGCTGAGCAGGTGGTACCTGCTGCCCAGACCTGGGGCCCCACCCTGGCAGTGCCTGAAGCCAGGGTCTGCTCTGGGGGTGCTAGCTGGGAGATACCACGGAGAAAGGAGTGCAGCCGATACTGCCACAAATTCCCCAACGTGAGGCAACCAGAGAGCTTGGGCTGGGAGAATGGCTGCTCCAGAAGCAGAGCTCCCCACCTGAGTGGCCCCAGCAGGCCTGGGCCCCTGCTGCTGTGTGGGCTGTCACCAGGGGTTCTGCCAGTGCCCTCTGAGGCAGTGGGGAAGGAGGCCGGCTCCCAGCCTGACATCTGCATCCTTACCCTGGCTATGATGATCGCCGGCATCCCCACCGTGCCTGTCCCAGGCCTGCGGGAAGAGGACCTGATCCGGGCAGCTCAAGCTTTCATGATGGCCCATCCAGAGCCTGAGGGAGCTGTGGAGGGAACGCGGTGGGAGCAAGTGCATGCCCACACAGCCTCTGGGCAGATGTCCCTAAGGAGATCCAGGAGGGGCCAGCCTCCTGGCTCCTGCTTGTAGCTGGATGAAATAGCACCAGACACATAGGGTGGCTCCTCTGTATGGTTTTTGGGTAGACAGGGTTGGGGGGGTGTATGGCAGGGGTAGGCTGGGCCACTGACAAACTCTAGTTCTTCATTAGGGTCCAGACCCCAAGAAGTTTCTCTTGCTGCCACTAACACAAGAGGTAGATCTTATCAGATAGATAAAACTGAAATCACCTACATAGGTGATCCTGTTTTGACAGTGGAGGCTCCTATATTGAATACTTGATCAAAATTTCTTTTTTTTCTTCTTCTCAGTAGTAGGGAATATCTCCCTATATTGCCCAGGCTGGCACTGAACCTGCTATCCTCCTGTCTCAGCTTCCTGAGTAGCTGGGATTACAGGTGTGTAACACCACACCCAGCTTGATCAAAGTTTCTTGTGCAGTCCTAGCAAGGTGAAATTTCCTCTTGCCTTAAATTTTCTAGCCTCCTGAAGGCAGAAAGGAAGGAAACTGAACACCTGGTTGAGCACCATGAAGCATCTGGATGAGCAGAATTCCCTCTTTTTTAATCTGACCAACCCTGTGAAGATGCCCATTTTTACAAATTGAGTTTAAAGAGTTGACCTATCCTGAGTCTCACAGCTAGTAAAAGAAGAAATATGCCTTAAAAATAAGTCAGGGATGAACCGAAGCTGTGGTATATGCCTGTAACCCCAGCTACTCGGAGGCTGAGGCAACTTAGTGAGACCCTGTCTCAAAAAACAAAAACAAAACAAAACAAAAAAAACAAATTTAAAAGGACTGAGAATGTAGCTTAGTGGTAGAGCAACCTTGGGTTCAATCCACAGTATTGCCAAGGAAAAAACATCTGGATTCACGTGTAGTATCATCTTCCAACTCTAAATTCTATTTCTTCCACAATATATCCCAAACTGCCAGGTATAAAACAAAAAACTAGAAAAATATTGGAATTTGCAACATTTAACTTTATTTATTGATCCCAAGATGGAGCCAGGAGAAAAAATATTGGGAACCTGGCTCAGTCACTTCCCTGAGCAGCTTCCTCTGTGGGAAGCTCCCGGGCCAGCTCAATCATGGGGTGTGCGTCAGGTGAGTGATCTCATGACTGGGGCAGCTGTTAAACCAAGCCCTGGTCCTCAAACTTAGCACCCATGTCTTGTCTTGGACCAGGAGTCGCCTGTTTTTGTAAGATCTTTGAGCTAAGAATTGTTTCCACTTTATGAAAAGGCTGTCAAAACAAAACCAAGAATATACAACAGCCACTGACCATGAGCATCTAAGTCTAAAATATTTACTCTTGGGCCCTTTACAGAAAAGATGCTGACTCCTGTCTTAAGGAGCCATTCTTAAAGACACCTTCTAGGTAGCAGACTATGGCAGAGTAGAAGACTCTTGTCCTTATTGTGGAAGGAGTGATCGTGGACGGACAACAGCATGAGTGTACGTAGGGGGAGTATGTGAGTGTACACATGGGGCATCAGGAGTGATCAGAGCTGCACCTGCTCGTAGGGGCCGATCCAGCTGTCAGCTAGCTCCCGCAGGGTGCTGTACCGCCGCTCAAACTCCTCCTTGCTGCAGTGCTGCAAGAGCTGACCCACCTCCTCGGTTAGAAGAGTCACTGCCAGGTGCTTATCCAGGGTCTCACTCCACGTGCTGCTCAGGATGCTGTCTAGACTGGTGGCACAGCTTGCTGTCCACTGAGCTGGCAGCATGTCTGGCTGGAGCACCTGGCGGCGGGCACTGAGCATAGCCAGGATGTGGCGGCAGGGCAGGTGGAAGGCCTGGTTGAAGTAGCAGCTGCAGCTGGCAGGGGGCTGAGGCTGCACCTTGTGGGTATCCTCCAGGATCTGTATGTTCATCTTTTCTGAGCCACAGCCGATGAGGTGCATGGATTTCTGGACCACAGCAAGTTCACCCAGGCAGAGCTGGGCTGCTGGCCCTGTGCAGATGGCATTGAGGGAGTGCTGAATGCGAGCTTCTACCAACTGCTCTGTTTTGGGGCTGTCGGGGCTGGCATCTGAGGGGCTATGATTGTTCTGGGGACTCAGGCCCAGGTTGAAGCTTCCCTTGTCTCCTGGGTTTTGCTGCATATACCGGAACAGAGAGGCCATGCCTTGTTTCTCGGATGGGGTGGTGCCAAAGAACTGACTGAGGATGCGGGTGGTGACCTCCAGGCTCTGGAAATAGCGCCTGCTCTCAGCTCGGCTCCTCCAGCGGTGTGCCAGCCAGATGCGGTCGTTGAGCAGCCAGTGTGAGTGGAGCTCGGGCAGCCGGGCTGGGGGGACACAGTTGCTCAGGAGTGTATACAACCTTCTCAGGTTGCCTGCTGTGGCTGAGCACATGGTGCTCTGCAGGGAGGTCAGGAGCACCCTCTCCATAGGCCGTTCAAGGGACAGCTGATAGAACTTGCCCTGGAGGAATTTGCAAATGTGAAAGGCTGAGAACAAGACCTCAGCTGTGGGGAACTCCATGGCTAGGGTGGGCAGGGGGAGGAAGTGGGGATCTACCAGGATGGTACAGACTCTCTCCCATGCTGGGTTAAACTTCTTGAACACCTGCAACATCTGGGCGAGGCCTTCAGCATCCTCCTTGGCAGGGATGGCAAAGTAGACTGCCCGAGCTAGAGGACCCTCCAGCTGCACTCGAGGTCCATCCACCAGGAAGGTGTACAACACCTTGCCTCTTGGGTTATAGGTCCGATGGATAAATAAGATCTCAGGGAAATGGGAAAAAACATCTTGCATGAAACAGCTCTGGTAGTTGAAGCTATCTAGCTGTGGAGCCCTGCTAACCTGGAGCAGCAGCACAGGTGGGCTTGAGTCCTTAATCAGAAGCCCATTCAGCATCGTTAGGGCCATGGGGAAGATGGGAAATGTCTAAACGCCCAGGTCAAAATACTTTCTCTGCAGGTTCAAGCTTCCGTAACTCAAGGCTTGAGGCTTAACTGTAGTTTCCAGATCTTGTTCCAAAGATGTGCCTATGGAAAGGAGCAGAGGTATAAGGAGACAGTAGGGACTTGGCTCTTCAATTATTCATCTAGGTTATATTGACTGAAAACATACTATGTGTCATCACTATAAGTAAACAAATAGGGATATATCAGATAATGAGGGTTACAAACACCATAAAAATAAGTAACAGGTTGGAGAATGAATCCAGGAAGGTGGACACTTTAAGGTGGTTGGGAAAGGTTTCTTTGGGGGTAAGGAAGATGACACTGGAGATGAGACCTCAACAAGAAGCTAGCCACAGAAAGACACATGGTTCCAGGGGATGTAAATAGGTGTGAAAGCCAAAGCTGCCTATAGTCTTTGGTTTTTTTTTTTTTAATTTATTTTATAGCATTCTAAATACTTGTATAGCCTTTATATTTGCAAAGTACTACTTGGCATCCATTCTTTCTTTTGGTCCTGGTACATATAAAAGTAAGTGGCTCAGACTTGCTGGGGCAAGTCAGTGATCACCTTTGAAACTCAATCCCTTCCACCATCAAATGGGATTAACAATGGTGCTTAGTTTCTCCTGCTTCTACACAGGAAAGGCTTGTTATTCAAACACTTCTAAACTGGGCACGATGGAAACACCTGTAACTCCAGCTACCTGGAAGGTTGAAGCTGGAGTATCACAAGTTCAAGGCCAGCCTGGGCAATTCAATGAGACCCTGTCTCAAAACCCAAAAAGGGCTGGGGGTGTAATCAGTGGTAGAACACTTGCCTGGCATGGGCGAGACCCTAGGCTCAATCCCCAGTACTGCAACAAGAAAAGTAACCTCTGGTTGGTCCCCAAATGGGTTTTCACCCCCATTTTACAGATGAGAAACCGAGGTTCAAAGTTTTTAAGTGATCTGCCCTCCATTACTGTCAGTAGATGGAAGCCAAGTCTTTGGCCCAAGATTCTGACGATTTCCCACAAGGTTCAAAAACCCGGAACTGAGAGGGAATGCGGGCTTTGACCTCTCACCTCTGACCCAGGTGGGAGATGGGGATGTCTGACGTTGGCTTTCAGAATCCAGCAGAGCTGAAGTCAGCCTCCCACTCTTCGGGAGCTGTGCGACGGCCGCCGTGGCGACCAAGTGGTTCACACCTCCACTCCCCCAGAGAGCACTCTCCTACCACCTGGCTCGGTCGCCATTTCCCCCAGTTGACCTGCCTGATTGACCTCTAGGCGCGCCAACCACAGCGCCAGCTTCGCAATGACTCAGGCCAATGACCTGAGGAACTTGGCTTTCGGTCTTTGATACCACGGACCAATCGCAGACCCGAAATTGAGGGCGGGCCCTGTTACCAGGGTTACGAGGGGCTCGACTGGCAGAAACCAATGAAAGTCTAAGGGAGTGTGCTCACCTCCGAGCCCCGGGGCTGAACTCTGGAGCCTCCCTTCAGGCTAGACACCAGGCAGGGCACCTTATTAGGGGAACTTCCCTCAAAGGCCAAAAATAAAAATGAAAATAAAGAGCTGTGCTTTACAGAAATCCTGTGTGTGTGTGTGTGTACACCCTCCCTTACAGAGAAACTGAAGCCCTGTTCTCCAATTCTGCCTCTTCCTTAGGGGTCAGGAACTTCCCCACTGGCATTGTCCAGCCCAATTCCTTCCAGAATTTTCACAACAGATGCAGAATGGCCTTGTGACTTAAGGTCCCAGAGAACTAATGCAAGCGCTGATAGACTTCCATCTTTATCTGCAGTTCCCCTGAAGACAATCTTGGAAAGATGAATGACTACCAGGCTTTAGACAACGAAGACCACCAACTAGCAACACCAAGTCAGTGTTGATTCTTATCACCGCATCAAAAATGTTTATAGAGACCTAGAGAGGAAATCCTGGACCAGAAAAGGCCAACAGACTAATTTTTAAGACGAGTTAAGCAGGTCAATGAAATTAGGGACTTGCTCATGTCCCTAATTAAGTTGCTGGCAATCTAGGATTCAGATTTCTTTCAGTCTATTTGGCGTCCTCCTACAAGAATATAAGGCAACCTGAAATCAATGCTGAAATTGGTAGGAAAAGGGCAAAGTAAATGGTGGCTTGCTAACTG